TTAATTTATGTATTGAATACAATTTGCTAGAATGGCATGTAGCTATTTGAACACATTTTTTACAGTACACTCATGGGACTTAAAAGAATGTCTTAAAGTTGACACCATTACAAGATGCATCCATTTATTTCACACATACTATAAGCTGCTCAATTAGATAAAAGTTGCTTACATAAATGAACTGTCAAAATTTACAAAACACATCTGGCGTGTAAACTAAAATACGCTTTATGGTTTACATATGTGATTCTAGGAGAGCAAATATGGTACATGGAAAACATGTTAATCAACTGATGATCACATAAATAGAAACAGAGACCATAAATGCTAGAATGATGGAGCATGTATCTAATTAACTGTAGATACTTTATGAATAAGACATCAATTTTGTAAATGACAACAATAATAATTTTATGCTACTGAGGCAGTGATCAGTTAGCTTTTGATATATGTTTAATCATAGCTATATCTATATAATGAATTTTCCCAGATTAGAATCAATGGCTATTACAAACAAGTCAGCAAGAATAAAAACTGATGAAATTTTGTGATGAGGAACAAAGCTTGACTGGTTAAAAAAAACTAAAATAGATATAAAATACTATTGAATCTATTTTCGACTTTTTCTGTTCAGCATTCTTTGTTCATACTATGAGAAGTTTCCCCTAATTATGAACAAAAAAGTATTGGGAAACATGTAATTCACACAGAAGAGTTCAACAATTATGTTTCTTTGTCTTTTCTGAATTAAAATTCATGAAACATTTTATGACAACAGTATTTTCATCCATCATTGATTGCAATAAAAATAACATAATAAACATAACTAAAAAGTAAACACCTGCAACTTCGAGGATTTTCCCCTTCCAGCTCTATATTTTGATAATATTCAAAGATTGTTTACCATCTCTCAACTAATTCATATTATATATACAGCTTGTATCCTGGTAAAATGATACCATAGCCTTTTCTGTCATATTACGTGCTCAATAGGTTAATGCTATCTCAAAAATTCTCTAAAATGCAAAACATTATCCACACAAAAAAAATCAAGCACAGGAGATGCCATGAATAAAATACTTACATTATCTACATTCCCTTCATGGAAATAAATAAAACAAACTCATAACTTTACATCATATGGATAGAATGTGGCAAGACAATCCTCATATTTTTAAGTACAATGAAAATAGCTAAAATTGCACATGGAGTGTGAATATTTCACTCCTGGTTGGTTTATATATTACACATACTACACAGGAACATGGTAAAACATATAAAGCTCTGGTATCTCCCTCTATTCTAACTATACATCTATTCTATACAATATAATGCTAATAAATTGATAATATCAACTGTTTTGTGAAGTTACTGGTTTAAATATATTAAAACATGATGTTGAGTTTGTTGTTGTCGTTGATGTTGAGGTTGTTATAGTTGAAACTGCTCCTGATGGCACTGTTAGTGTTAGTGGACTGGGATCTTCTATACTGCTATCTGATGAACTGAAATACAATTACATCACTGACATTAGAATCAAATTGTTGAATCAAAAATGGATCACATGAACTTTAACAGAATGTCATCACAAGCCCAAATTTACCCTGTATTTTGGTGTTGTGGATCATTATATGTTTGTCCAGGATAAGATCACACAATTACACTTGCAAATGCCAATAGTATCTACCACACTTCCCTGTAATAAGCCCAGAGGTTATCAACATAAGGGGTGGATGTACACCAGAGAGGCCTATGACCAGGGAACTATGATATAAACTGCACAAACAGGATAAAACTGAATTAATTAACAAATGACTGCCTTATTCTAGAAATGAATCGCAAGATAGACGAACAGAATGAAATGTATGACTTTGTTAGCTAGAGCTTTACATTGTACTTCAGTCATATTGTGTGTATGGTTGATCACCTATGATTTTCAAGGATAGGAATAAAAAGCAAATTGAGACTCCCATAGTAGCTTATTTTAATCAATGAATATATTGAGACTCACTGCAACTATACAATAATTATAAAAGATTGTGTTACTTACCTATGCGGATGTGACGAAAATGGAATATTATCAACTGTAGCATATCTCTTTGATGGACTCATTTCAACATCACCTTCACCCACTAAAATGGAATAAATTTGTGAGTCAATAACACAAAGAACATATGACATTTAATAAACTTAAGTAAAACTCCAGTATAGGAAGTGTTAGCAATTACAGCTAATGTTTAACAAGCTCACAACAGTGTCTTTAAATATTAGTTATTATACATCTGTCACCTTAACGCCATAAGTTACAGCGTGCCATAATTTTGTGGTATTTTATGGGGTATTTTCATCCTACCATATTAGAAAATGCGAACTCCAAATATGGAATGATTACGCGCGTAAGCGTCCTCTGATAATAAAAACAAACATGGCTGCCACCAGGGTTTGACCGGACTCCACACAAAGGAGTTCGTTGATTCAGTTCTAAACTTTTTGGATTTCGGCATTCCCATGATGTATCCTTGGAAGATGTATAATAATAAGATTATTACAAGGATGCACTCAGACAGACATGGAATACTGTATTTACTATATATGTATATATATATATATATATACAGTAAGCAATTGTGCTTCTAATAATGACCATATATGATACAACAAAATAACAGCACCAGTTGCCTGTCCCTATCTGCAACAAAACTTAAGATATTATAGTTATGCATATTATTGAGGTCACATGACCATATTCATATAGTCTTTTAAACATTAGTTATATCACACTGATCTCAACCAAAAACTAATCAGGTTTGCGCATTATTCCAGACCATATATATACCATGTTTCATTACAATCTGTTGAATGGTACTTGAGAAATAAGTGAAAACGTTTAAATTAATATGTAAATTAGATAATTAAGTTGCATGAATTTCAACCAAAAACTAATCAGGTCTGTGCAATATCCCAGGGCATCCATGTAGGATGTTTCATTAAAATGTAATGATTAGTACTTATTAGCAGAAAAGCAAAAAAATTCCTAATTATGCAAATTAGAGAATTAATATGCACCAAGTTTTATCAAAACATATGCTTCTGTTCAATAAATCATAAATACTAAGACTAATTTTAACAAGTTTACAAGCCTATTTAAGACAAGAATCAATGATCTACCAGGTAACTTAGTTTATTCATGGAGGTATATACCTCCATGGTTTATTGAAACAGGTCATTCCCACCAGTGATAATATAACTTACATTTTCTTTTCAATGTTGTTGCTAAAACACTAGGTCTAATTGTAATAGGACTCATACTTCTACGACTTGTAAATGTTCGTCTAGTAGGACTTGGTGTTGGACTTGGAGTTAATGAATTACCTCTGATTGGCATTTGCATTGATGGAGAGTAACATTGCTGCAAATAAAAAACATAAAGTGAATAAACATGAAGGGATGATTCAATGATTCCAGAGATTATACCATTTTTTCTATATTTTACATTCAACTCCATACAAAACACCAAAAAGTCTTTTTAGCAATAATAAATTCCAGTTAAAATAAAGTTTTTTTACAGTAACATACAAAAGTCATGTTATGCAGAAACTAAGCTATAAGAACTCAATATTTCCTGAATATTAAACCAAACCAGATTATCCTACTGTTTTTTCTAATGAGTTGTGATTGTTAGAAATGATTCAGTCAATTTCTAATCAGTGGTCGCTTTGCTTTTATGTTTTTTCAATAAAGTTCAGATAGCACCAAAATTAAACAATAGTTGTGTTCACGTTACACGAAGTACGGGCTAAGATTTAAGCTGATTTAGGCTTATCTAGCATATTTGCATTTCGGCTAGACCCAATTGCGTCCACGCACAGGGAGGGCCAGTCGTTAGCATGTCATTAGTCGGTGACCTTTGGTAAGCCGCTATTTACGAACGAAAAATGGATGACACACGCGAGGTTCTATTTCTGCTGCTGGCATGTTTCGTTCTAATTTTGAAGCGACGTGCACAGGAACGGGAGAGAAGACGGACCACTTATTTGGATGCACATAAACAGTATACAACGGGCGTAACAGAATACAGCGTTTTATTAATGCATGTTGTAGACAGCAAACCAAATTTATTTTGTCTACGATTGGAGCTGCTGTACGCTCTACTACAGTGACCCGATTAGTGTGGAAGTGAGCGCGGAGTAATGACTGGTGGAATAGTGTCGTTATGCGAACATGGGACAATTGTCACACCCAAAGGTCCCGCAGAGGGCGCTTAGCCCTGGGCTAAGCGTTCGCGCATACTTCGTTAGCCCGTGCTAAAGTCTAGACCGCGTCTTAAATTCGGATCAGATTTAACACGTACTTAGCATT